TCGCTCTATCATTGAGCGGTCGCAGTGAACAGACTTGATGTAGAATAAATGTGGAGGCTTGCCTGCACATTCCCTCCGGCCAAAGAAGAAAAAAAATGGCACAGTTCACAAAATATTTATATCACAATATTTTGATAAAGCACAACACTAATTTGCAGATGAGACTTGATGTATTTGAAATCACATAAATGAGAATTTTAAGGATCTGGTATACATTTGAAATGAGTAACATATTAACGTAAGTCAAATATATCTGTCTGGCATAATCCAAATTATGATCAAATTATTCAATTATCAAAATCTCATTGTCTGGCCATAAATATATAAAACAATTTTTGGGGATAAGCTGCTACACATATGAGTCAAGTTAAAAATTAAAACTAAAGAACTAATATATACAAATATATGTTTCATCATACAGCAGCATAGAATTTCACTAGAATCTGTAGACACATTTGTAACTGAATACATCTCATATTTCATACAATCTTTCACTGTTGTTAACAACTCTTGATTATTATATATCTCTTACTTAACAATATTCAAATCATATCATTTTATCAACTCTTTTAAATAGCATCAATGTTTTCTAATAACTTTGTAAATGTGTAAGAATGATTACTCTACAATTTTCTTTTACAACTTAGTAATTCCAAATTCTCAAATTTCTAATATAGCACAATTTCTGGATACTTCTAATAATCACTAAGTGTTCTAGAATTTTTTCTTAATCTCTCTTATTTATTTATTTATTTATTTATTTTGAAATTCCATGACCTTAGTCAACCCGGACCAGCCTCCAACTGACCAAACGTATAAATGACGGTGGCCAACCTACACCCATACTAACCAAGAAACTCCCAAAAAAATTTAATTGGAACTAAATCCACTACATTCATAATCAAACACTAAACATGTGTGAATTTTTTCTTTCTTTCTTCAATTCTTCTTATTTTTTGTTTTTTACTTTATAGGGTTTATATTTATTTTAACTAACATTTATTTTAAGCTACCTTTCCTGTCAAGCCTTACTTTTCCCTGGAATTCCCAATGCCAGAGTATGTAAATTTCAGTAGAACGCGCAAAGTATTCAAATTTTTAGCAGAAGTAATTTGAGTTAAATAGAAGGGAAACGAGTTTGTATGTGTGCTTTCTTGATTCACGAGCGTGAAGGTTGCTAGGTAGAAATTCAAGAACCGCGCGTTTCGGCCTGTGTGCTTGCTTCGGCAGTTAGTTGAATCTTTCAACTTTTTATTCAGAAAGTTTGCTGAAATCTCAGCTGTATCTTAGAACGCGGTTAAGTTAGTCACGTTTAGAGAGCTTTCGTAGGTAGTGACTTGTTATTATCCATTTTTAGTTGTACTTTCTTATTTTTATTTAACCGCCGTGTCGGCGTAGTTTGTGAACGTCAAGTGAACGTATCTGTAACTTCTAAAGTGGAATAAAAAGGGAGTTAAAACTTTTTAAGAGTTTGTGTTCTTTCCAGTCCATAGCAGTCACTACTATTGTTGCGGGCAAGTTGGAGCCACGCAACACTACAACTTAGTGAACAAGAAAAAACAAGCTCGATGAAAACAATGCTATTAATTAGCTAAATTTGACCTCAGAGGAACTCTTTTAAATAATTTACTACAATGAATTTTTTTTAGTTTTGTTGTCAGTGATATTTTAATTAAATAGTTTTCATTTCGAAAAATTTTTACGATTTTGAAAGGACCAGTGTATTTTGGCTGTAAGGCATGAGGTGGTTGTAAAGCCCTTAAAATTACTTCGTCTCCAATGTTAAATTTAGGACTTTCTCTGCCTTTTACAACCTTATCTTGAGTTTAAAATACTTTTCTTCATTTTGTTTCACTAATTCTCTAGTGGCTTTAATGTGTTCCTTTTGACGCAACAAGTATTGTGAAGGATTGTTTACTGCATGTGGTTCATTATTTAAGTCTAAAGGTGTATTGAGTTCTCGCCCGAAATATAACTGAGCAGGAGTGAAACCAGTTACTATGTGTTTTGAATTATTGTAATACAGTTTAAAAAATGCCAATCTATCAGACCATTCAAAGACCTGATTAGATAATGAAGCTATGCTTTCTTTCATAGTTCTGTGAACTCGTTCTATGATCCCATTAGATTGTGGGTAATAAATGGAACTTTTTCTGTGTTCAATATTTAAATCTGTTAAAAAATTCTCAAATTCAGCCGAACAAAAATTTGACCCGTTGTCAGATAATATTATCTTTGGAATACCGAATTTTGAAAAATACAGATTCATTCATTTTATGATTGTTGCAGAAATGATATTGGTTAAATGAATAGCCTCTAAATATCTTGAATAATGATGAATAATTGTTAAAATGAGAAATTTACCATCGTGTGACCTGAGTAATTTACCTACAATGTCAACAGCTAACATCTCTCCAGAGGCTAAATCAGACTTTTTTATATTACTTGTTACTGTTCTAGAAGATTTGGATTTATTTTTAGTTTAAAACTAGTTAGAGCCGGAAAGAAACATTTAAACATCCTAAGTCCTGATATTACATATAAAACAATGTAAAATCATCTAAATCAAAGTTAAATCAAAATATGTACTCGAAAAAAATCTATCCATTATACATACAACAGAAAACTTGTACAACAAAATAAAAATTTGTACGCGAAGAAAACCTATCGAATTTACATAAAACAGAAATATTGTTCATATAAAAACATGGTCAGTCTTCTCTGTTCAAGGCTTCAAACAGAACTGATCAAGGAAAAGTGCTTGAAGCCCTCGATCAAGTTGATTATCCCGCTAAAACATACAAACATGTTTCGTCGAACAAATATCTTGAGACCGAAAACGGCTTTCATTGTAATTAATTTTTTATTTATCTATTACTAATGACATCTCAATAGATTGTCCCTTTTCCCTATGTGCTTGCGTGTTTTAAAATATCAAAGTAAAACTTAAAAATAACAAAGCTGCGAATTTTAAACAAGACAGAAAACTTGTGATCTTAAAAAGAAAAAAAAAATCATCTAAAAGATGTAAGAAAAATCCTATACAATTTGGCCTGGTTAGTCAAATGTACAATCGAATTATTCAGTGTTAATCCCGAAAGTTTTAATATATATCATTTCAAGCGGCAAGCCCAAGCTTAGCATTAAAAGTAGAAACTTTATCCTAATGAAAAAATCTTATCCAATATATATATAGATATAGATATGTAAAACATATCTATGTAAAATATAAAACATAGATGGCTTTTGCTCTACGCCAACAGGCAACCGCTAATTAACTTTCCGCAAGTTCAGGATTTTCCCCCTAGATAAGTATTTTCTAGAACATTCTGACAAGTTACGTAACCGCTGCTATAAATGAAAGATTATTATTCAGGCTAAGATTACTTCCTGGAGGGAATTCTGCACCCAAGCAAAAAAGACGTATGGTATTCACCACAAAATAGCTACCGGTAAAATTTTTAAACCTTCGCAGCTACAGATCCCTCTCTCAATCACCAACAGTCAGGAGTACACGGCAGACACCCTACGTACGCTCCTAAACGCAGTTTTCTGCAAAGACGATTGTACTGCAGGACACAGTACAGAACAAGCTCTTCTCAGGACAGTAACAACCACACTGGACACCCCAACAGACCCGGATATTACAATTAATGAACTTCAAAAAGTTCTTGCAACTCTGCCGCGCAAGAAAGCCCCTGGGCCCGATGGGATGGACTATGCTATCACCAAAGCAACGATCAAAACTCACCCTAAATTCTTTGTTGACTATTTCAACAAGCTTCTGGCAGCAGGTATATTCCCAAAACCCTACAAGATAGGGCAAGTTATTTTATTTCTGAAAAAGAACCGGAACCCAGCCGAGGCCACATCCTTTCGTCCTATCTGTCTCTTATCGGCAATGGGTAAGGTACTAGAAAGGATTATCATGAACAGACTACGGTACCATTTACACACGCAAGGATTCTTAAGCTCCGAGACAATACGGGTTTAGGACGGGCACTTCTACAGTCCACGCACTCTTCGACATTAGAGAAGCAATTTTAGAGAATCGACATAGCGGCCACCATACTGCCATGATAAGCATAGATCTCAAAAACGCTTTTGATACATTATGGTGGCCGGCTATCAAACAGGCTCTGCGGAAGGCAAAATGTCCGAGCAACCTGTATAAGATGCTAAGCAACTATCTACAGGATAGAAGACTACTAGCAGTTCACAACTCAGGCATAATAGAACAGGAGCAGACGAGAGGCTGTCCACAAGGGTCGTGCGCTGGTCCACACCTGTGGAATCTAACTTTCAACGAAGTTTTTAACAGCTACATGGCCAGCGCACACAAAGATCTACGCCTACGCAGACGACGCAGCGCTAATAGTGAAAGGTCGAACCCGAAGAGAATTAGAGACTCACTGTAACGAAGTGTGCCAACAATTCTATGCCCTATGTGACAACCTTAAACTGAAAATTGCAGAGCACAAATCCAAAGTGTTATTAATACCTAAAAAGGGAGGTTCTCTTTCAAGAAGACCAACCATTAAGATCAACAATCAGAGGATACAAATAGTCAATCAACTAAAATATCTGGGCCTTACGTTCGACCACAAGATGACCTGGATACCACACATCCAGGACATCAAAATTAGAACAGTGACAATAGCGAAGCAAATGCGATTATTTCATGCCCACAAATGGGGCCTCAATCCTCATATTCAGAAGGTCCTCTTCACCGCAGTGGTGGAAAAGATAGTCACTTATGCAGCAGCAGTATGGGCTCACCCAATGCAAAGCAGGCACCTTTCTACCATTCAAAGACCCTTTGCATTGGGTATAACCAGAGCCTACCGCACGACGTCTTCAGACGCGATCAACGTGCTGGCTGGCCTTCTTCCCCTACACATCCGTGTCGAAGAGGAGGCAGCAAGACAAATCGTCCTGCAGCTTAAAAGACCTGTCACCTTTGACGAAGAATATTTTAATCCAGAGGACTATGAAGCTAAATGCTGCCCTCTGAAAATCCATCCAGCAGCCAAAGGCATTATGCCGGAATAAGCATATTTACCAATCCAACTACGGCCCACCGTCCAGCACAGATTATTATCTTCACTGACGGGTCGAAAATAGACGAAAACGTGGGAAGTGCCTATGTGGTCATGCTGCAAGATACAGTCATAGATCAATGGAAGGGTCAACTAAGGCAATTTAATAGCGTTTTTCAGGGAGAAGCAGTGGCAATTGCGCAAGCAATCCGCTACCTGCAATCCCACCACTCCCGCAACGCTACAATAAAGACAGACAGTCTTTCTTCGCTATACGCAATAGGAAACCCTGACCACCACTCCGATATTATTCAGGGAATACAGGAAGATCTGCGAAAAAATTCCCAACTCCATACAAGACTTGAATGGATCAAAGTGCATGCTGGCCACCACGGCAATGAATTGGCTGACCATCTAGCCAAAGAAGCTGCCACAGGAGCAACATCTCAACAAATCAACTTCCCATGGCCAGTGTCTTACCTGAAAAGAACATTGCGCTTAAAGGCAATCGGGAAATGGCAGCAGACATGGGATAACAGCAATACCGGCCGACGGACTTATTACCATGTCAGCTACGTGGACACTACCAAAAATTTTGCAACCATGCAATTGGTAAGATACATTACGGGTCACGGACCATTTCCCGAGTACTTTAACAAACGCGGGATAAGTAACACTAGTCAGTGCGTCTGTGGACAGACCGGCTCTCCGGAGCATTATCTCACCTCCTGTCCCCTTACAGAAGGGCTACACATCAACCTTCCGTCGACCAATTGACAAGCTTTCTGTAAGTTTTTGATAAAACAGAAGCACTTGGTTAGAAAAATAGGGCTTTTAATGGATAAACTGGCCGATCTTAACACAGACCTGTGCCCTACTTAGCCATATACACGAATAGTAATTTAGTGTCTAGCACCAACTACCAACACCACAAAATAACTGTGAATTATCGTAAGGAGTGTCCAACACTCCTAGTAATATAGCAAAAATAAACTATTTAATCAATTTGCATTATGCCAACCAAACGAATTATGTCTATTATCTGTACCGCAATATGTAAATAAGGACCATCTGTAACTGTTTATAAATGTATCTTAAGTACCATCATCATGTAGTTATGTTGTATGTGTTGTGTAGCGAATTTAATTTAATTAAGTGATTCATAAAAATCAAAATTTTAATTTGTAATTATTCAAAATTTGAGCTACACAAGTTTGGTTATATTCTTTTTGGGCCTATTAATTCTAGTGTAATATATTTTGGCTTTCCGAGTTTGCGCGAACTGCGTCTTCAATCTTGTACACGCAAACAATGGATAAGTATTTTTTTTTCCTACGTAATAGACTCAGTTTTTCATGTCAAAAATTAATTTGATTTCTTAGTGTTTAATATCATTGGTTGCAGAAAATTTGGCTCTTTGGTTTGGCATAACTTTCATTTTTCTAACTTTAATTGCATTTCAGTTATGAGCTTTAATTAGTAGATTTTTCTTCGTTTCGCTTGTGATTTAGTTAAAAGGGGATGAAATGCCTTCTTTCCGGTTGAAAAGTCACTTTTTGCGAGGTTTCAGCGTTCTTTCGTTGGGACCCTTGCAGGGTTGTTGAAATTCCTAAGTTCCCCCGGTCACAGGTGGTGTTTTTTGGCGAGGGCTTGGCGACATAGATTTTCCGTTGAGGTTTCAAAATAGTGGTTTTGGCGAGTTTGATAACATGAGGGTTTGCTGTGGTTGCACCTATTTCAACTTTCGGCGAAAAATGGGTTGCGCCAACTTGGCAGTCCGGCGCTCTCCCTTTTAACGGGTTGTTTTGTGGGACGAGCGCACTTTTTACACTTTTTGCACTTTTCTGACACTTCTTTTGCCCTTTTACTTGGCCGGAGGCGACACCTGACTCCGACGAAGAAAATGGAGCTTCGCCCCGATAGACCTACGGGCCTCTTGGCTAAGCGCTGTGAGCGCGGGCCGTAGGTATGGGCATCTATGTCTTCAAAAAAAAACAAATCGAAATTCTTTCATCAGTTTTTTGTTGTGTGTGTTTGTGTATCTCAAGAAAAATATACAGAAATAAATTTCTAGAAAAATGATGCGCACCATTGATTCGTCGCTTCACTCGGAACCAGAGCGTTAATTTACAACCGTTGTTTAACCTCATTTGCTCATCCTAAAATCTACTAGAACTTCAAGGCTACCGTGATGAATAATTTACAACCGTTGCTTTTGGAACCTCATTCGCTCATCCTAAAATCTACTAGAACTTCAAGGCTACCGTAATGAATCCATACTGTTCTACGAACATTTTTTCCATTCAACAGGCCGCCAGCACTGTATTTCACTTATCTTGCCGTATTGGAACCTCATTTGTTCATCCTAAAATCTACTAGAACTTCTAGGGTACCGTAATGAATCCAAACTGTTCGACGAACATTTTTTATTTTTCATTCAACAGGCTGCCAGCATTCCTCATGAGCTTCGATGGATTTCTTTTGTTTGATGCTCCTTAACAGATAAGTTCTTTTCTTTTTTTGGTTAATTCTTGGTTAGTTAAATATTATAGATTTCTGCAGTTAAAAAATGATTGAATTAACTTAATTTGTTAATTTGTTGAACCCTAAATTTTTTGTTGTAGTTGATAACTTTATCCTAACTCTATAGAAATCATTTTTCTTTGGTGTATCAATCAAGTAAAAAGCATTAAATGGAATAAAGATTTATAACCTTATTAAAGTTATTGTAACTTAACTTAATGGTTAAGAAAATTAAGTTCTTCAGGAAATTATTTACTTGAATGTTTTTTTGAATTACTCATTGGTGAGGATGATTTGAAATAGTGCTTGTATTAGAGCATTCTTGTTTCTCAGGACGAACTTGTTTGTAGAATAGTAAATGTGTCATTACTTATCTTTATCCGGTTAAACCATATTTAATTAATCTAAGAAAAAAAAATTAAATAAATAAAATTGTTATGTGCAATAATAGTATTTAAATGATGATATTGAGTGCAATATTAAGCAATAATTTTTGTTGTATTGAGGAATTCTGTGTAAAGTGGAAAGTGTAACTTGTTAAATTTTTTTTTATTTTCTCCCCGGTGAGGGTTGTGTTCTTAAATTTATAGTTTATTCTGGTATGTTTTACCAGTTTTGCAATATTAAATTTAATAGTAATTACAAGGATGTTAAAAAAATATTACTTGGAAATGTTGGATGTGTAAAACAATAGTTCAAATTTTGTTGAATATATTTTGATATTTTTTTTTTTCAACTAATGGATATATATATATATATTTATAATTGGCATTAATAGTTAAATAAATAAGTTTTTCTAGATCATTCAAAGGTTAAATTTTGTGTGTGTGCTCATGATTTTCACCCGTCTCATTCTCAAGTTGATTTCAGGGTTAATCCGAAAACACAACGCAAATGTACAGGGCTTATTGATATTAGTATATTACTGTTAGAAAATTTTAGGTGTTATGTCAACAGAGTAGGAAACCTTTTAGGTACCATACCTTTAGGAAACCATAACAATTTAGGTACCATGACTTTAACATAACATATTGGTACCGTCATTTTCTAGCATAACATATTGGTGCCGTGAACGTTCGAACCAAATTTTAGCATTTAACAATTTTTGTTGTGCTGTTTATTTTTGCATCACTTTTGGCTTGCGCTTATAGTGGAAATTAATTTTGACTTGAGACTGGTGATTGTCATGTTTACTATTGCATATTTGTGTGAAAGTTTTCTTCCACATATCTAGGCTTTTTACTGAAACCATACTCGTTAGTTAGTTACAGTGACAGGCCTATACAGTGGTCGTATTACTGTGCTTATTTTATACTTATTGTTTGAGGTTGCATACCAGATATGTACTACTGATACACATTTGGACTTTAAAACTATTGTATCCAACACAAACATTTTCACGCAGTACCTGTTTAGTTAAGTATTTTCTTGTTGTGCAAAATTTTGTATTGCATGTTTACATATTGATTTTGAGGATTACTGTTTCACACTTTTGCAACTGTATGTTTGCAACATAAGGTTAAAAGGCACGCGTGTTAATCACACATTGGGATACATCCTTACTTTATATGCTTGCAATTACTGACATCCATTTATCATCACTTTTAAGTTTTGGTGAGAATTGCATTTGTGTTAATGAATTGATTTTTTTTTTTTTTTTGCTTATTGCATTTTGAGTGATTATTTTGAAGAATTTTAATTTTAATTAATTGAATTAGTGTCAGAGCAGTATTTTTGTGTTCAGGAATTAGTAATTTTCTTTTAAAACCTCTTGAGATGTGTTATTGGATTTGTTTTCCATGGAATCAGTACCTAATTGAATTGAGTTAAAAATTTGGATTTTGAAATGTTGAAAAATCTGAAATGTTTGTTTCTTAAAGTTAATTTTGGTTAGATTTGTAAAGTTGTGCGGGACCAGTGATTATTTATTTAGGGATTGATTGAATTTTTTTGGAAGTTAGTTTTCAGCCGGAGTGAAGTTTCTTGTTTAGCTTTTCTGAGTTTGAGTAATTGAATTTCTACCTAGTTTGAGAATTCTGTGAACATTTATTGCTGTCTGAGAAATGTCTGAAAACAGTAGAATAGTGAGTTGTGCGTTTTACAAAAATTTTGAGTTGTGAATTTTGGAAAAACAAAGATTTTTTTTTTTTTTTTTGGAAAGGTAGAGTTGGTTTTGTTTGAAGTTTTGGAAATGTAGTTAAAAGATATTATTCTTACTCTTAACTGTTGGTTTTTCAAGTAGTTTTAAAGGTAGACTCATAGTGAGGTTATTTGTGAGTGGTCTAACATTGGTTTTAACAGTGATTTTTTTTTTTTTTGGTTTGTCAATTTTTGAGCTTAATAGCTTATTGTTTTGATTTTGAATTATTTTTTTTTTTCTTTGGTTGAACTTGTTGCAGTGTTGTAGTAACTTTAAAAGTGGATGTGAAATGTGTTTTGGAAATTTAAACATTGATACGAATGGAAGCGAAAAGTTTTGAGAAGTTAAACTTGAATTTGTGGAATTAGAAATTACTTATGTGAGTTTAGTGTTGTGAAGATTTGAGAAGTATTTTTGATTTGATATTTTAAGAGTAATTAACTCCACTGAGTTTTGTACTGAGTTTCTGTTTTCAAGTTGGTTGTCTTTCAAACACTTTTCTTTTCTGGTTTCTGGTTATACTGTGTGGTTACTGAAAAAATTTGTGATTGCTCTTGAGGCTTAGTGTATTTCAAGGAGTTTTGTTTTGAAGTGGTTTAAGGAGAAATATAGAATTGGGTTTTGTGAGATTTATGGATTTTGAGATTTTGAGTTGAGATTTTTCTGTGTAAACACTTCCCTCTTGTTTGCTTTTGCATTTTTGTGCCTGCAGTTTTGTAGTTTTGTTGTGAAGTAGTCATGCTTACGATTGCTACCTAGAGTGCAATGCATACTCTTCATCTTCTTTAATTACTCTCCAGGATCTAGACTTTGAGAACATTGGGGCAGCATTGTTTTCTTTAAAAATTGTGGCAAACCCTTTTGTTGGGCACCTTCTTGTTTACGTGTAAATTCTGTGTGTGTAACCTGCTTCAGTTCTGTTTTGTTGGATTCATTTTGGCTATTTTCGGAATTTGATTTTTTTTTTTTTTTTTTTTGGTTTGAGCTTGAATTGTTTATGAATTTGATTTTTTTTTAAGAGTGTTAGTTTTGTTTTCTTGAAAAGATTAGTTAAAGGTTTTCTTCCACATTTTACAACTGGTTTGCTCTAGGAGTTGTCTGCATTTGGTGAATT